AAAATGATTATTTGGAAATGATGAAAATGGAAATGATTATTTACAGTGAGGTGAGGGTGGTTTTATTTACAGTGAGTACAGTGATTGTGCTTTTGTAACGTTGAGGTATGGCCAGTGATTATGGTTTAGGGGACACATCATTGGTTTTTATTTAAAAACAACAGTTTCTCCACTGTGGCAGGTCTTAGGCGATTTCTTTTTTTTACAATATTTCTCCTGCTTTGGAAAACACCCGCTCACAGGGCACAGATGAGGCAGGCGTACACAAGAATGCCACTGCTAACTTATATAAATGGGAATAGACATATTTCTATCTCTACCTCTCTCCAAACTATCTCTAACTCTATCCAAACTGTCACTGACCGCAACTCTCCATCAAACACCCACATTTTGAATGGAACCTGAGGGGTTTATATCTCTAACAAAACTCGTGGCAAAATCCGAACCACTTCCTGAATGAGTCACGTGGTACAGCCGGGCAGCGAGGCTTCGGACGTCATCATTTTCAGCTCCTCCCCTAAACGACGCAAGCCTCGATACGCGCATCGCGGAAACGCCCCCTCCCCTACTCGGCACACGCTTCGAAGCCCAAGCCTCGATACGGAACGTCACATCACTAGTCTAAACACTTGCGGCCCGTATTGATGATTGGGTGGTTGGTCTGCGGGACCACCCATTGACCCACTTCCTTTGCTGTTTTCATTTCGCTCGTGCTGGTATAACGCTTGTTACGTAATGGCAAGGGCAGGGTAATCCTTTTAGTTAAAGGCAGTCGGGCGGCGATATGCTAATCTTCGTCATCTGATAATTGTATTTCCAGACAACAGACAATTCTTTCATATTAAGCAAAAGGATGTCTCTGCTTTTGAACACAAAGTGAACAGCTTATACCACTGAGTGCATACTGCCCCAGTGAACCACCATGACAAATGTAATATCGAGTGTGATTTTATGGGTTTTATTTAATCCAATCATGATTTTACACAGTCTAGATCAGTGGTTCTCAAACATTTTCTGTCATTCCCCCCCCCCCTAAGAGGGTGGGCAAATTTTCAAGCTCCACTTGCCAAAAAAATAACGAAATCAGCCAATTTTAAAATATTAAATGTATTGAAATATCAAATAACACCAAGTTCAAAACAGATAAAATATAAGTGCAACTGTATCGTTTGACAGAGGGATAGTTTTCACTTTTGCAGCACTTGTCTCATCCAGCATAATCGACACCATGTCTACAGTTACAGGGAGAATGAGCTGCTCAGCAATTGTGTGTGGTTTTATGCACTGTGCAATTCTCTATGCCACTTTGAATGAAGCCATTTGTGCTTTGCTGTTCACTGATGTGGATTTTACCATGCGATTTTTCTGCTGACGGTTTTCTGCCAGCTTTCTTTCAAAGAAGTCGAGTGGCTTATTAACGTGACTGGGGTGTGTTGTCTCTAAATGTCTTGGGTCTCATGCCGTCTGCTGCCAGCGGGCTGAGACACAACACACACATGGGTCCATGTAACAAGTTTATCCATTTGTGTTATTATGCCTACTACGTACACTGCCCTCTGTGTGAACGTTTCCTTATATTGTTGAGCTGCAGTTAACATGTCGACAGTAAACCGTTATTGTTGCACTATGGTTCCACTTTTTTCTCCCGGGCCCCGAACTCATGTTATTTTAATTTTCCAATTTTCTCTGTTCATTGCGCCCCACTTGTCATGGCTTTATTCCCCACTAGGGGGCGCGCCCCACACTTTGAGAACCACGGGTCTAGATCAAGGAATAGATTTCCAAGATCAGTGTTATTCAAATGCCCAGATGCCCTATCTACAGAGTTTCTGATTCATAAATAAACATTGGGGGCCGCTGGAAGAATATGGTGTCCACATTTTTTACCACAAACAGGCTGCTGTTTACTGTTCTATTCAGTTATTTGTTTCAGTCATTCTTTTTTCATGAATTTGCAGTTGCAACATTAGCTGTTTCCATCTTTGCCAGTGGTGTTTGCCTTGTTGTTTTTCTCATATGATAGCAAAACTGAATAGGCCTGTTTGGTCCTGAGAAGATCTCAGTAGTGGAACTATTGCTGTGTAGAGGCTTCAGCAAATTATGAAAATAGATTTTTGTGCCAAAATTGTAGATTTATTCTAAATAAAATCAGCCTATATAAGGCTAGATAAATATTACCTTAGTAGTTTGACTGATTATCGATTCTCATGCTTTCCAGCTGTGTGGACTAGAGGGCGCTGGCGCATAAGCACATAGTTAAGTTTCTAAACGTTTGAGCCAAAGCTTGTCATCTACTATAGCAAGCATTATCAGCAACTAATTACATTCATTATCAATTAATATGCCCATTATTTTCTTAAGTAATAGATTAACTGTGATCCAAAAATGCCTTTTTTGTGACGATCAACAGTCCGAAACTGAAAGAAATTTGTAATTGTTTAGTTTATCATGACAGTCTAAGAAAACCAACAAATATTAATTTAAGAGAAGCTGAATCTAGAGAGAGATGTTCTTGGCACTTTTGCTTACAAAATAAATCAATTACTCAGCAAAGCAGCTTAATTAATTTTCTGTCAATCAGTCCCCCCAACTCCTCATATACAATCTTTCATTGGGTAAAGTAAAGGATGATGCCAACAGAAGCCACCTCTTTGACAGTAACTTTATTCGCTTTCAGAACTACAGCTGAATGCAACGGACACAAACTGACAGCAAAAGGATACAAAATGACCACAACGAGATGCAAAATAAACACCAAAAAAGAAGATACAAAAGATCCCTTAACCTCACATCTTCTCTCTCTCTTTACCTTTCTCTCACAGGCATACAAAAGTTGTCCTCGAGTCACCATAATCAATAATAAATTTGTGTTTTGCATTGACTGGGTGCCTGAGTTGGTGCAGTTGCACAAGAACAGCTGGTTTGGGTGAGTCAGCTAATCAAAGGCATCCATTAAAAATATTTAATGCATCATTTAGAAAAAAAATCAATTATTGTGTCCAAGGAGCTTCAAACATCTATGGGCTACTTTGGAAATCCAACTTTCCCTTTTTTTTCACTTAGATAATTTTATCATCTCCTTTAAAACAATTCTACGTTTCCTTTTACTTATCATTTGTTTTGTTTATCAATCAATAAGGATCAGGATTGTAATGTCCTCACTGCGCCAAGGGTCCTACAGCAAACAGGGCTACGTAACACCACTCTACAACCACCAGGGGGTGGGCATGTGACGAGGAGACCTTGTCTCTCAGGCCTCTTCTTTTTGGATGGATGGATTTAGTGTCACAGCCTGTGGTCTGCTGGAGTATGAAGTCCCTTTGGTGACTTATTGAAGCTGACAGGAGACAGGAAATGAACAGAACCAGAGGAACTGATGAGAGATCATGCTGAATGTCAGTGCAGTCACTTTCCATTTGATAATGTTAGTAGCAGGGCTCTAGGCTTGTCAGTCTGCTGGTTGACCCACAACCTTTGTCTACACTGAAATGTCTCAACAGCTATTGTTGAAACTTTATACAGACATTTGTGGCTCCCTTCAATGTCAACATAAATGTTTTTTTTTTAAAAGGCACAATCATGTAAATTACATGAGAGCAGTGCCATGCACAGTAATGCTGACTCTATAATCTGTATTCCAAGGAAATCATATTTTCTTTTGGCTTATCTGGAGTCCGTTGCTGATATAATTTGTACGTGCTTATGCTTCAGTCCAGACATTTCTGACTCAGGGAAAAAAATTAACATTGGAGAAAGCAGAGCTGAGGCTCAACAATTTCTATGAGTCCATTGTGCTGTGTTCAACACAAGGAGGGTGGTCAATTTGCAAGTATTACATAGGAGGGTAATGTTTTGTGTATGACAGAGAGCCCCACCACTGAATAGATTTCTATACATCGAAATGCCATAAAACACTGAAAGCTCTGATTGAGCTGTGGGGGTGGAGTTAAGAAGCAGAAGAACTGAACTTGTTCCTCAAATGTTCAATAATAACTTTGTCTGCACTCAGATACATACTACTAATGGTTGTACTGTGCCTTTTGTGATTACAAGAGTGTGATTAAGAATGCTCTCATCAGTGGTGGAGAAAGTATGTTCATTCTTTACTTACATAAAAGCAGCAGATCCACACTACAAACACATTCAAATGCAAGTAAGAGTCCTGAATTCAGAATAGTCAGAATCCGAATCTGATTTATTGGCCAGGTGTGTTGGACACATTTGACAGTGGCTCTCAATGTGTATGTACCATGTTCTTCTGTATGGCAATGAGTAGACAAGTAAACAAGATCAGACTGAGAGAGCAAGAAAAGAAAGAATGTGCAAATAAGTAAAAGGAATATAAAAATATGTAAAAGTAGTTAAGAATTACCAGAGAAATGTTCTTTAAATGCTAAGTACTCAGTAAAATGGGTCCTTTAAAATATAGAGTATACTGTATCTGTATAATAATGGATTCATATTATTGCCTTAAATTATATTAAAAAAAAACTTTACTTTTGTAGTTGGTTTAAGGCAAGTTTAACAACTTAATCTATAAGAGTACATCAAATTTTATAAGCTCTTCATACAGTATGTGTTGCATATAAAGTTTCACTAGCTACAACGATAAATGTAGTGCTAAAAAAAAAAAGAATATTTTTATTTTAAACATAGTCCAGAAATATAAATGGAAATACTCAAAATACAACACATTCTTACTTCAGTTAGATGTATTTACTTGCACTCCACCACTGGTTTTAGTTTCGTTCAGTCCTACTGTTCTAATGAATGATTAGCTGCATTGACAACATGGGGCCACGGCTGGAGGACTGTTTATAAAACCTGCTGAGCTACGTTGTCTTCCCTGTAAAACTGCAGATGCTTCAGTCATGCTTATTCAGAAAAAACACACCCCTCAGAAACTCACTTCACTTGTGTTTATTTTTCCATGGCACATTATGATAAAATATTTCATTTTATCAATCAGTGTCACATAAACCGAGACTACAGACTGGTACAAAATATTATAAAAATAGAAAATTGGAAGTTTGTGGTGTCACTTCATTACTATCACATTAGACGTGTTGTTTGGTGTGAGTGACATCAGCACCTTGCACAAGAGAGGAAAACACACAGTAAAACTCTAGCTAAGAGACAAAATCATTTGGTAATATTGTCCAAAAGGAGGTGGCTGCAATATGCAACATATTCATTGTGTTCATAGCCCACTGACCTCTAGTAGAAACCAAGCTACAGAAAGTCAACTCACACAATTATCAAAAATAAGTTACAAAAGGATGAACCAGTGGTGTAACACGAGACAGTGATGGCTGTGGCCAGTTTAAACAGAAAAATAAAAACATATTGCACCTTTGACACCTCAGTGAGAAGTTGCTTCTGATTTATGATGAAAACAGCAAGTTCAATTCTAAGAAAAAAAAAATCTAATTTATACCAACAGCATTCACCAGGACAATCACAAAAAATGTAACTAAGTATACAATGAAAAAGAAATAGCAAAAATAACAAAACTGAAACATGAGTAAAACAAAGGCATAGTGTCATCATTCATATCACTCAAAAGCACATTAACACGTTCTTTTAAGTGGCTGGAAAACAAACAGCTGTATGAGATTTGGCAATTCATTAGTCTGTCAGAAGGCTTCATTTAGTTTTATCTGAGAAACCATGAAGCATGGCAGCAGCTGAGGATAAGGCAGAAACACAGTAAGATGTCCAGTGTCCACAGTAAAACAAAAAAAAAAGTTGAAATGTTTTAACCAGACTGTTTAAGTAAGGTCTGCAACCAGAACATCAAAAGTCTAAAATTTTTTACAGAACAAGATCACTCAAGCCATCGGATTCAATTGAGTTTAGGGCTAGAATGATTAACTGATAAGTCAACTGACAGAAAAGGGATCAACTATTTTTAAAACGGCAATCATTTCAGTCTTTTTTTTTCCAAGCAAAAACACCACATCTCCTAGTTCCCACTTCTCTAATGTGAAAATCTCATGCTCTTCTTTGTCAAAAATGATAGTAAATGAAGTATCTTTGCATTTTTTAGTGTTGACTGGTTAATTTCTGAGTATTTTTCATTACCTTCAGAAATGATAGATGACACAATTAACCGAGAGATTAATCGTCAATGAATATAATTGTTAGATGCAGCCAACATTCAGTCACAACTGGGTCAACGACATCCCACAAGTTGGGGTCCATGGTGATTCACAAGTTATCACTATGGCAACCACTAGGCAAATGGCACTGGGAATCTGGATGCATTTATAATTTAACAGGAAGTGGACAGATTTGGAATTGCAGCTTTAGAAATCTTGGATACAATTACAGATGACTAGCTACAGATGTCTGTGTGTGAAACCAGTGACCAAGAGGTTGTTCACCATGATGCAAACAGACCGTTTCATGCATTTACTGACTCAGTTGCAAGAAGAGTTTGGTGCAGTGATGAGGAAGGGGGTGTTCAGACCCCACAGATGCTGCATTAGCATCTACTTTAAAGCATAATAGCACAGAATAATGGAAAGGCTGCTAAGTTTCAGCCTTAAAACCTGAGTTTTACAGCTTACAGTTTCTGTGAACAGGTACAAAAAAAAACTAATTAATCCACGGGGTGTTTCTAAGTTGGTACAAAAAGCTAAACTATTGCAAACAAAATGAATTTTAAAAAATTAAGAACAAGGAGGAGGGGGGATAAATCATAAATAAAAGCTATGGCATGTTTCAATGGCATCATATTCAAGTAATCTTGTTCAAGTCCCTGATAGTGGTTCATGTAAACATTAGAGTCATTAACACAGACAGAACCAACAGTTCATAAGAAGGCAGCAGCAATTCATATGTACAATACACAACCGACGTCCACGTCTCCTTCACCGTGCTGGTCCAGTCACCTCAGTTTGTGTTCAAATCTTTGAGTGGCGCTGGAAAAATTAAAACTTTTGCATGACGAGAGCCGCGTTTTCACCTGGGTGTGTGACGGCTTCACCACAAGGCTCAACTTTGGAGATGAGAGAGAAAAGATGACGAGGACAGAGAGAGCAGGACAGAGAAACATGACACTGCAGGTGTGTTCCAGCTGCAAACTTCGCCTGCTGTGCACAAAATAATTCTTTGTCCCATCTGAGGTGTTATGTGGTGAGAAACTCCCAGGGTGGGGGGCCTTCAGCTCTGACAGAGACTGGGGGCCTTAGATCAAAAAGTTTGTTGACATTCAGGAGAGACAACCAAAAATGTCACCACCATACATAGCTTTGCTGTTTTCTGCCAAGTCTGCAACAAGCCTCTGTTTCTTCTCTCTCTCTCGTGGCTCACGAAACAAACCCAAATCTTCCTCTCTAAATGTGTTCATATTTTGGAATTGGAGAGAATAACAAAAATGTGTCAAGAAGCAAGATATCCTTATCACAGATACTTTTGTGTTCTGTGCACTTCTAAAATTGGCTCAGCTATCACACAACTGAGAACAGGCACTGAATGAGGTGGGTGTTAGACCACGCTGCTGCTTTCATCTCATTCACAGTGATGACAGTCTCATATAACACAGATTTATAAAACCAGTTCAGAATATGGCAATAACATTTTTGCAGTGCCTTAGGATTTCATACGAGTCAGTGGAGCAGTTGTCACGTCAGCGTGATGACTTCCACCGGGTCTGTCTTTCCTTTGGACCTCTGCTTGCGTTTGAGGTGTCTCTGTGAGAGGGAAGGGGGAGTGGGACGAGCTGAAGGTGTTGCGATGCTGACGGAGAGAGAGAGGTCTGAAAGTGGACGTTTTGGGGTAGGGAGCTGGGACGGAAGCACAGCAGTGCACTCTTGCAGGGGTTTGTGTTCCCTCTCCGTCTCCTGGCGTCACCTGTCAAAGCAGCCAGCTGTGAACGTGTGATGAGCCCCCAGGTAGCCCCTGCTGTAGGCCATACTCAGACAGTGTCGCGGCTCTCCGGTGAGGGCCATCTGCACAGAAATTGGTCCCTGGAGCGGCAGCGCACGAGCCCCTGGCTGGAGACCAGAGGACAGGTTGGGGTAGGGGGGGAACCCACCTGCAGGAGTCATAGAAGAAGCCCCGGTTAACAGACCCACCGTTTGGCCCTGAAGAAAATCCTGAGACACGTTCACCACAGGCCCCAAAGCTTGGGAGTCAGCTAGCGCTTGCAGCTGGGACAGGGACGGGGAATGTTGAGAAAGGTGTGGGAACCCATCGGGTTGAAAGAGCAGCTGTGGTGTGGAGGAGGTGGAGGAAGAGGCTGGTCTCTGGATGACTGACACTGGAGAGAGGTGAGAGGTCTGGGGCTGAGACTGCAGAGAGGAGGGTCGGTGAGGAGGAGTGGACTTGGTTTTGTTGGCCTCCTTAACGTCGTTGTCATGAGCACTGTGGGAGGGAAAGGCACATGTATTTCAGTCATCAGCACATCAAATACATGACACCTAAAAATACAGCAATGTGGGAAATTTAGTGGTGAATTAGATCCTGAAAAATGGCTGCCCTGTAAAATCCATTAAAAGAAGCAGTCATCTGTCTGAACCAGCCTTTTTTACTCCTACACAATTAGTCTGAACATGTGCAAACAATTATACTTGCACAAATGCACTCAAATAAAAACACACTGCCTCTTGCCAACCAAGAAATGTGCAACTTAATTACAGCTGTTAAAATATACAGCATCAAGTCTGTCAGCTAGGATTATCAGCTTTGTCAGTGAATCTCACATTTTAAGACTGGTTAAAGCAACAAGCACCTTCTAATCCAAAACAATGGCAACCACAAACATGAAACAATGGAGACCCTGCACATCATCTGTTAGACTTTTTTCACTACTTGTATGGGTGTGTGTGTCTGTGTGTGTGCTGAATCTCTCTTACAGCAGCATAAGTTCAATGCACTGGGTGAGGTGGTCCCACGTGTAGCCTGTTAGCAGATGCAGAGTTGTCGTCCAGCTTGGGGAAATCTGAAGGCAAATGCGAGATGCTGCCACACACGCAGCTGCAACCTGGGATGGTCGGAAACTCAGGAAGGCATGGTCTAGAAGCACCCAGAGACAAGAGTTTCATTAGTACTTTGATCAACGCACACCATTATGCACAAACATCTCGAACAATAAAGCAAAACCCAGTTCATCCTCCTTGTAACCCACCTTGCAGTGAGACTTCCAGGAAGTAGTGAGTGTATTTGTCCATGAAAGCCTTGGTCTTGGAGAGGGAGGAAAGAGGCCAGCCGTTGTACAGGTCGCCCTCCTGCACCGAGGCATGGAGGTAGTAGTCAATGAAGTGGGCGGGTGTGGGCATGCACAGATTCCAGCCAAAGGTCTCCAGCAGCAGAAGCTCCATTTTGATCAGATCCCTCTTGTTGAGAACCAGATTCAGGCTGCACATAAAGCCCAGAGAGTTGAGCTGCTCCAGTTTGGGAACCCGGTCCTCTTTCTCCTCAAATTTACCTGTAAAGGAACAAACCGCTATAGTGAGCTGGGTTGGGCCGATGGCTGACAGACATCAGTGATGAGCCGGCATTGTGATTTAAATCATATGTTATTTCCTATGATAGTTCACATTAATAATCTCAACCTGCACTATACTGGCTTTGCAAATTGTACAATAAGGAAAAAAAATGTAAATGTGACATCACAGCGGCTCAACAGAAGATGCACAACTTTTGGACACTGCATGTTAACATCATGATATGGAAGTCCTGAAGTGTATGAGTATTCTGGTTCTGTTCTCTGTTTTTTGGATTAAGATTTAGAAAAATAATATCATGTGGTTATTTGACGAAAATGTATTTATTGTAGAGTTGAGACCACTAGATAACTTATTAGGTTTATTATCAAGTAAACATATCAAACATTCCAGCTTCTCAAATGCAAGACTTTGCTGCCTTTCTCTGTTTGAACCAAAAAAAACAAAAAAAACATCACATGAGCCATCAAGAATTATAACAGGCATTTTATAGACTAAACAATTAATAAATCAGATTAATCAATAATTAAAATCTTAACTTAGTGAATAAACAAGTTAGGCCTGTCAAGTTTCATTAGTTTGAATGATCATAGTGTTTAACATTAAATCCACAGAAATAGTTTTAAGGACAGATGTAGAATTCTGATATGTCTGTGGAAAAGTCAAAGTCAGATCCGCACGTCTTGATTTGAAGCAATGATGGTGGATTTATCAACCGCTTTCTTACGCTGAACATCATCATATGAAGCCACATGCAACACATTTATGGTCAGCCCTAAAAAGCCTTACTCCAGCCTCTACAAAACCTAATAAGTGCCTGCTAAGCATTATCAATTATGTTGACTATTACCAAACATATGGCCATAAAGCTAAGTTATTACACAAACAAGCCTAGGAGGCATCACTCTAGTCTTATAGAGAGCGGGGCATTTACTGCGGATTATACAAGCCCAACACTATGAAAAAGCCAGTCAGCTTTATTCCTTACTTTCTGTCTGTCTCACTCTAGATCTGTGCAGACATTACAGCAGTGCCATTATGGTGAGCCCCCTCCCCAACACAAGACATCCTTCTTTCCATAGCAACAGCCCCAAGGCCTCAGGGTGGCCAATGAACAAGAGTGATTCTGCCTTTAATCCACGGCTGGAACAGGCCCTTGCTCAAAACTTTTAACATGAGGGCAAGGAGGTGTCAGGTTACTCTGATACAGGCCTCCCATTAAAGCCTTCAACTACACACAGCTTTCAGTAGGATGTGGGAATGCATTGTAGATTTATAACAAAACTGATTGACTCCTTAAAAGTTACTGAATTTCTGAGGCTAATATCAATATTTCAAGATTCAAGATTTTTATTTGCCATTTATGCATAAACACACAGTCTAGGCATATAGGAATTCTTGTGCAGGGCTCTCCTGGAGTCAAGTAAAGAGTTTAAAGCCAAAAGAACGAACACCTCAGTCTAAATATAAAATCACCCAAGAATTCAAAATAATACAAAATACAAAAAACAAGAATACCCAAGAATACAAAATTGTGAATACAGGAATAAGATAGCAGGTAAAATGGGGAGTTTCAAATATTGCACATAGTGTAATTGTATATGGTCTTCTACTTAGTAGGGTAATGAGGGGTTATTGCACAGGTTTTTCACATTTTCATATTTGCCATCAGTATTACTGTGGCAGGGAAAAAGCTGTTGTAAAATCTTGTTCTGTGTGTGATGGTACTGTCAGCTCTGCTGTGCCTGAGGCTGTAGGTGCAGTTTTTGTGTCTGAGCAGAGTGTGAGCTGGGTGGCGTGGGTCTCTGAGTATGTTCTCTGCTCTTTTACTACAGCGCTGTGTGTACAGTGTGTCCATAGCAGGCAGTTCAGTCCCAGTTATCCTCTCTGCAGTCTATATGACCCTTTCTCTCTGCCTCTCTGTGGTGTTACCATACCAGTAGTGAAGATGCTCTCTACCAGTCCTCTATTAGCCTGGGTAAGAGGGCAACCAGCTTTCCTGAGCCACCTGATGAAGTATAGCCGCTGTTGGGCTTTCTTTACTGTGGCAGCTGTGTTCAGTGACCAGGTCAGATGTCACCTGCAGCCCTCTCCACCTCAGTCCCTTTGATGGTCAGAGGCAGCAGAGGGGAGGGGTTCTTCCTGAAATCTATTATTTCTTTTGTCTTAATAATACTGAGGCTGAGGTCATTCTCTTCTCCATAAACAAGAATGTCATGCACCAAGCTTCTGTAACCTGACTTGCCCCCCCCGATGAGGCCCAGAATGGTGGTGTCATCAGCATATTTAATGATGATGGTGTTGTCATGGTTGGAGACACAGTTGTGGGTGTACAGTGTGAAGAGTTTGGGGCTGAGACAGCAGCTCTAGGGAGAACACCGTCTGGTCCGGCAGCCTTATGGGGATTCACCTGTTTCAGGGCCTTCAGAACCTGTGTGTGCGTTACTTGTTAAGCAGTGTTCCCCAGGTCACAGGGGGATTTTGAGGGGGTATCCATGTTTAGCCTGTCAAACCTAGCACAGAAGTTATTAAGGCTGTCCGGGAGGGTGACGTCATGGGAGATTGTGATCATTGATTTGTTCCTGTAGTTTGTAACTGCCCGGATTCCCTGCCACACGTGTTGTTATTCAGGTAACAGCTCTCCAGTTTTTGGAAGCATGTCCTCTTTGCAGCTCTGATGGAGTTCTGTAGCTTGTACCGGGCTCTGCTGTACTCCCCTCGGTCCCCTGCCTTGAAAGCTTCCTGCCTCTTCCTGATTTTGCCACCTCCTCCCAATATGTGAGGATCAAATAGATATATGGTGATTTTTATTTTAGATTAAACACCTGATAGTTTTGATAAAGAAACTTTCATTGACACCCATCAGTGGTATATAACATTTTGAACATGGCTCATTAAAACATCATATTGTAGTTACACACAGATGGGTTTTATTAATATTTTTGTCAAAAACTACAACTCTCTCTGTGAGTAACTCCAAGTGGAAGCTGGTGTAAAAACAGTTGGACAATGTTGGACAAATGACCTGCATCATATCTTTGACATTTCTGTACCTTTTATTTATCAAACATACTGTATACACTACCAGTCAAAGGTCTAGGCAAACATTCCCATTGAACTGAATAAAAAAAAAAGTGTCCAAACATTAGACTGATGATGCATGCAGATGCAAAAATACTAGCCAAAAACTACTAATGAATATTATATTGACCTTGCTGATTTATTTAACTCTTGCTTTACAACTAAATCTAATTCTTCTTGAGTCACCAGATGTGTGGAAAGTGTAGTTAGGCTGAGTCCAATCACATACTGGGCTGTAATGGCCTTGCAAATATACAGAACGTTAAAACATGAAATAATGACAGAGAAAATAAACCCGATGAATTATAAACATTTGTGATTCAAAATATGAATATTCACACACACAGCTGCCTGCTGACAAAGTGCCACTCAGTCACTGTGGTACAATTACTTAGTATTATATCCACTGGCTAGGATTAGAAAGTAAAGTATCAGCTTTGTTAAAATATGCATCCAGCTGGGAATAACAGCAGCCCTCTGTCGGGGTAAAGCTTGGCCTCTGATCTAAAACCATGGTAACCAAACATTATAAATAGGCACTTTATTGACTTTTTCAAGCTGCAGTTAGAGGTGGACACTCCAGGCAATGATGGTCTGACATGCCGTAATTTTCATGGTCGTCTTTGAAGGACCTCATTTACCTCTTTGTGCCCACGTCTCAGGGAGCAAGCCATCTTCCTGCAAAGTGTGAGTTTTCGCACTAAATGTTGCGACCTGCCATTAAGAAGGGCAGCAGAGAGGCGAGAAGGACTGGTTGGGATGAGCATGAAGAGGATGAGAGTGGGGGGTCTGCAATCCAGCAGGCTTAAGGGGTAATTAGCAGAGGCAGTAATGGTTTTCCTCCAGCAGAACAGGAAACAGTGAAACAGGGCTGTTTACACCCACCAGTACTCATTCCATGGCCCAGTCCACACTCGTCCCATTCTCTCACCCTCACATCCTCTGGTTCAGGGCTACAGTATGTCTGCTTCTAGACTGCTATGTCCACATAGATGCTGCTATAAAAAGCCATCAATGCCCCCGCTCTCCACACAGCCCCAGCCTCTTTGATCTTAACAGAGACACGACAAGTCACTAACCGCATTGTGCTCTCTGATTTTCCTCTTCTGGTTTATTACTGTGGATAACCAGGCACATGAGAAACATGGGATGCCCAAAAGCTTTAAAAGCAAAAAGCACAACAACTTCAGAGGAACCTACTCACACACACACACAGGGTGAGGGGGAATTAAAACTGCTCTTTCACCTACTGATTCAACCCATAGGGCTGGGTTTCATTTTAAATCTTTAGAAAGCCTATTCAGATGACCTAATTCACTAATGGTTTCAGGCTCTAATGAGTTTTGATGCCTAAAGAATACTATTCAATATTTTACTTTTGTTTAAAAATTTCAAACCATTTGTATTTATTGTTATCCAGACAGTCATTCAAGAGCTTTGCCTAAACACAGGCTAACATTAGCAGAGCTATTAATGAGATCATGAAATATCTGATCAACAAATAATTATAACCAAAAATTTGATACAGATGACTTGAGAACTTGATGTGACTGATCCATCTGATGGTTTTCAAAAAGTTATTAGGTTCAATATCCAGCAACATACTGAGCTGACCAACTGCTCTTTTATGATTCGTTTCGCAAGGTGTACACCCATATCGACAACTATAAAGCCTCACTCGGTGTCTCACTGTTTGATAAGCCATTAGACGACTTCCTGGTGTGTATTTCATCATCTCAGTGATACCCTGGAGCAACATGTAAATAGCATCCCAGCCCAACACAGTGCTGTTTGCTGATGTCAGTCTGAATGTGGCATGAGAGACGGTGCATTCCTCTCCCGCGAGGTCCGCCTATCTGGAATGCAGGCAGTTAAATGATCCTATCTCAAGTCAGTGAGCAGGGAAGAGACACAGAGATGAAGAAAAGTACTACAGCTAGAAGACACCTATTTTTTTTTTTTTTTTTATTATCAGTACCCACAGGTGATGGTGATGATGACAAAAGGGTGGGTAAACAGGGAAAAGCTAGAGGTCAGGGGTTAGGGAGAGGTAAGGATGTACGGCCTCCTCCCAGGTGTGCTGTTTGTGGAAGAGGTGGGGGTGGGGTGTGAAGGGGTTGAGAGTGATAGGGGCTGTTAGGAAACCTGAAAGCCACATTCTCAGAGAGCAAAGCCCGTTTCTGTGGTTCTCCGTTTCACCAACAGCGTGTAAAATGAATATGGAAATGCCAGACAATAACCGAGTAATAGATAAAGCACTGTACCAAATACTAATATACAAGGTCCCTATGAACTGTATGTTTTTATGATGTGAAGGGAAACGATTAAACCCATTAACATCAAAACAAAAAAAAAAAAGTCTGAAAAAGCTATTACAAGGGCCTGGTGTAAAGCAGTGCCTCAGACACAGGACAGCATGGTTAGTCATTGTTGAAATGATCTTAATGGAAAAGCTTACACATCTTCTGACTACAAGAAGTACAACTGGAAGAAAAATGGGGAAAATTGACAAAGTCAGAATAGGACATTCATTCATTCATTCATTTTCTACCCCTTATTCCCTGAACGGGGTCGGGGGGGCGGAGCCAATCCCGGCCGGCAATCAGGCGAAGTACACCCTGGACGGGTCGCCAATCCATCACAGGGCCAGAATAGGATAAATTATGTCACTTCATGTTGACAATTTGCAGAAAAAAACCTTCTTAGGCAGCTCTAATGGTTCTTCCTCATTCACTGCTACTTCTCTTTGACTTGACAGCCATTGGAGGAATTTCTTCTGCTCCTTAAATTCCTTTTATTACCTGGTTCATCTTTCACTGGGAGGGTGAAATTGGTCACAGCTCCATCACAGAATCTCTGTGTTGCCACCCCTGGCCCTGGAGGCTCTCACAATGTAGGCCCAGGATGACCTCTGCCCCCAGTGCTTATGCCTCGGTGACCAGGGAGAATTCTAGACACCAGGCTCTGTTTGCGTGTGTGTGTGTGTGTGCGTGTGTGTGTGCATGCTTTGGGGGTTTCAATCGACTGAGGGTATAACATGCCTTGTCTCATGGGTGACCAAGACTGACAGAGGGGCTGTGTGGGCAAGCAGAACCTCAGGCATTACACAACGAAAGACAAAATTCTGACAAAAGTTGAACTGGTGCTTTGGTAGCATCTGATAATAATGAATAATACTGACATTAACAAGCCGATCTATACATATCTACATAAATTATTTAATTATGGGGGACCACATGACAATAGTTCCATCAGAACTACTGTCAAACCACCAAGAGGGGAACAAAGGAAAAGTGGGTTCTCTATTAATTTACACTTCAGGGCACCTTGCTGCGTGGCTCAGTTCTAACATGTCCCATTTTGCAGGCCACCAGCTCTCCCTCCCTTTCTACCTGGTTTAACATCAGCAGAGGACCTGCCTTTGAAGTAGTGCTCCACTTGCACCCCGCCCTCCCAGGGATGTGGGGCTGTTTTTACTGGCCACCCAGTCCAAGGACTGGCTCCCTGACAAGGCGAGAGAACCAAGAAGAAACAGAGCCCGCAGTGAAAGGTAAAGCGCACCAGAACTTAATCATTTAAGTGGTAATGTGGCAGTCAAGCTATACCCTTTCAATAGGAAACACTCTATTGGATTAAACTTTTGGGGGAAAAAATCCATAGGTTTATTGCAAGGTTGCCACAGTGACCTTCTCCTCATTTAGCATGTTAGCTCACGGCAAGTCTCTACTATACACACAAACACACCTGCATACAACAACCTCCACGCTCTGTCTCTGCTCCCCCTCCCCCTCTCTGGGACGGGTCTGGCTGGCTAGATGTCCTGCTTGCATTGATGGGCTTTTGTTTGAGGCCTGACTTGGAGAGCATATGGCAGGGGCCCCTCAGCACCCCGTTTCTCCCCACCCCCCCGGCTCTGGAGTCTGATAAAATAGATCACCAGAGCAATCAATGGTCATAATAAAGAGTTAAACAGCAAACTTAAAATAAATAGATAAACACAAAAGAAACAATTGTACCAACAACACAAATTCCATAGCATTTTTTTTTTTTGCTGGCTTCCAGCAGAGACACATCCATTATATTATTTATCATAACAAGTGTTATGGTCCAAAATGTGGCAGGAGGACTGATGGGATCACTGCAGGACTTCATGCAATTCAACACAATGGAAACATAGGATTGGAGACTGACTTTTCAGTGTAAATATGCCGTGTATACAGTTTTGAGTCTTGAGTCTTTAAGTTGATATTTTCCAGGATTTGGCTATCTTTGAATAACTGGGCTCATTGGATTCATTGAGGTTTCTAAATAAATGCACAACAGGCAAAAGATTCAGACCCAGTGGATGTGAAAACCTGACCACAATCTTACTCCTGCAAATGAAAAAGAGCTTATCCATGAACAAACACACACAAAATACACTCATAATGAAATAACAGGATTAAGAAGTGACTGCTGAGAGGTACAAAAGAGGTAGCGATTAATTAACTGAGTGCAAAAGCCAGGAATATTTAAAGAAGGACAATGTATGTGTCTGTCAGAGGCAGTGAGAGGGAGCTGGGGAGGCCGTTCAATAACTAGGCCAGATTCCAAGGCACCTCAGGGCAGATAAAAACCCAAGACTACTTTGAATCAAATGCCTTTTCAAGCCATCATCAATCATGGCAGAGACTCCCTAGAGTCCTGGAAGAGTCAGAGGCAGGAGAGCAGAGAGGACAGAGTCTGACTAACTAAAAGCCACAGTCAAAATGTTCAATGAAACAAACCCGATTAATCTGTTAAAAACCAGAAGAAGAACCTCTGTCCAAATTGGATTTATATCACTCAATGAGCAAACTCTCAGCACTATTCTTGGAGACTGCTCATGAGTCTCATGAGACTACTTTTAAAATAAAACCTTTTTCAAGTCTCATATTCAAATTTATCCCACCACAGAGACTACTCTGATTGCAAAGATGGCCTGTACATGGCTACACACACACACACACACACACACACACACACACACACGCTGAGATCTCCAGAGTAAGCAGGCCCTGTTCCAGACTCCCACTTTGATGGCATCATTAGTCTAATTACCCATGATGCCAAGGGCTGCATTAATGTACAGAAAACCTCACAGTCTTTTAATCACCAGTCAGGCACAGAGGCACTAATAACTACCACACACTGTGCACCATGCATCAGCAGGGAGACATTGATTTACACACCTGCTTTACATGAGGCACACAAAGAAACTTTTTTTTGCATTTCACAGCAGAGAAGCATGGGAGTTACTGGTTATCACACTACACCATCTCTTGAATTCACTTCTATAGAAATGCCCACAGCTTTTCACTGACAGAGTAAAAACAAAACAATAATCATACCTTAGAAGACTTTTTGAGAGGTGTTACTAGCTCAGCTAAAACAGACTGATTAGGACTAGACTAACAACTGGAGCCCCATAAATGTTATTACAGCCAGGATTAAAGGCAAAGATAAAGTTCTGCAGACACAGTTTGTCCTAAAACAATGGTACAGTCATGCTATCACAATGGTAACCTTGTTTTCTGTTTAAACCAACACTGCAGCTAAGGGTAAACATTACAGGCTATCAGATCAGTCTGAAAATGGAGCTGGAAGAGAAAAACATCACAGTCTCTTGAGCCTCACTTGTATTAGCCTTGCTGCAGGAAGTGTTCACCTTGTGCCATCGGTGCAGAAACCACAGGCACAGAATCTTTTTTTAGCACAGAAGAAGACGTACTTTGCAGCTCTTGTGCATTAACAGTTTGTGTAAATACAATACAATACGTTCCCTGATGAAACACAAAACCTAGTCAAGTTTCAAGACACTGACTCAAACATGTCTGAGTTTAAAGAGGATAAAAGCAGTTGATCTTAAAATTAAATGTTACTCGAGTAAAAGGCAATTGAAAACATGCAGATGGATTCAGGGAAGACGCTGGAAGGTTGTTAATAGACTTACTTGCTAGGAGCAGACAGGAGAGGGCAATCACATAGAGCTGTTTGACAGCCACATCATAGTGGTCCATGAATAAGTCCAGTAGGTAGATGGCCAGGTGACGTGCTGTAGGGCATAGCTGGTAGCGATTACTGAGGATGGCCAACAAGTCTGCAAAGTACCGTCGCATGCCAATCTGTGGAGAGTGGGCCCGGAAAACCGGTAACTTCAGCTCCTGGAGAGAGGGGGGCGTAAATAACAGGGGGTGAGAGGAGCTGGGTTGGCAGGAAGCAGCAGTGGAGAAACATGGGGGTTGTAAAGAATATGCATAATAATGGTGAGCCATGCACGGCTCCTGCTGACCGGTTTTAACTGGTGCTGCTGCAGGTCTGAACTACTCCTATCACGAATAAAGCTCAATTTAAACACTGGAAACTCTTGATTATGTTTCAGCCTCATTTTCATTTAAACACTGCTGCAGAAAACTGGAGCTAATTTGGGTCACTGCAGGGGTCTCTGAGGAACAGGCTGAGGGTGGTGGTACGTGCATATATGTGTGGTTTAGCAAGACATGGCTCCTCCAGTGGAGGCTGAGTAGTAAATAGGATTAGGTTTCACCCCCAGTACATCTCCTATTCATGTTCAATTAGCTGCATGTGTTTCAAAGTGGGAGGCAGATACTCGGGGGCATTAGCATTGAAACAGCATTGCATGTCTTTCCAATCAGCCACAAGAAACAGGAGAGCAAAGGGCTCTACTTTCAAAATCTGCCTCAAAGAAACAAAAAACACATAGCACAGAGCAGGCAAATTCACTCTGCAGTTATGTCCTTAAGCTGATTATCCTAGAAAATGTTTTTGTTTTCAAAAAATATTTTTTGCTCTGTGTATTTGAGTAAAAACAAGAGCTTTTGATCTGGATTTGGAAAGATATTGAGGATTGGTAGATTAATCTCTTTTAGTTCAAACAGTGAGGGGTCTTTACTCCTCACATAAGAGCAGAAACACAGAAAGAAAAAAAAAGAAAAACACATGACACATCATTTAGGAACCTGCCTTCAGCCTGGCTCAAACAGTCCCAGTCTGGCTTTAAAGCTCAGCTTTTCATAAGAAAGTCAAAGTGTTTATTTGTCATATGCACAGTTAGGAAACGTGTTTCCCTGTACAATGAAATTCTTACTCCCTACCATCCCTACACCTCCAGCCAGAGGGTAGGGAGGTGAACAGTCCGTGCTGGGGGTGGGTTGGGTTTGTACAACACCATTCACTAGGAGGGCAAATCTACCAACACTGTCAGGTCTCCGTAAACTGTCAAGTATTTATTTTGAGTGCAACTAAAACAACAACAACAGTGCTCAGACTGACACTTCCTTTCGGGTCCATCTGTCTGTCTGGGGGTACAAGAACCGGGGTTGAATGGGGGTAGATGTGAAGGGGTGGGGGTGCTAGAGTCTGGTGGGAGGGGGGTCTGTGTTGGGGGGAGAGGTGCCTTTGTGGAGGACCCGCACCATAATTAAGGATTCCACAGCTGCCTCCACCTGATTTGCATGTCTGATAATTTAGCACATGCTACACACCACCGCTATCTCCCACATCGGGGCATTATCACTGCAGCACATGTCATTAAGACCAGAAGAGACGGTGGGGGAGCAGGCACCACGCAGGAAATCTGAACACCGTGTGAAGACCTTTTAACACACAGCTCTGATACTGCTTTCACCACTCATTTCCATCACTGTGCTTTCAGTTTAGCTATGTGAAAACATACACCCCTTTTCATCATAATTTTTGTAAATAATAATACCCTACCATTTATAGGTTTTAACAAAGATGAAGATCACTGTACAATGAGAAAATATTCAGGCTGCAAATGACAAATTTTCATTATCAAGTAAATTGAATGATTTTATATGAAGTTCACTAAAAATACCCATCACATTTTCACACAACCCAAGGCGACGTCTGACCAGTAGGTGAAAACCCAAAACTAGTCAGCTGGCTGTCAGTCAACTGTTCAGTGCAACTATTTGGTCTTCACACACACCCACACACACAACTGGCTCTTATAGGCAGTTTGTTCTTCTGAGACATGGTTATAGTCTAATTTACCAACAAGTTTGAGCTTCTCTCATCCATTAACCGGTGAATGTTGTTTGATGCATGCCAGGTTGCACTGCTAAAGAATAAATATATATATATATATTTCTGATTTCTTATTGAAATGTTTTCCCAGTGCACTTTTAACTTCCTATTCCCATTCGGATGGATGCATGGCGCAGAAACAGTCGGTAACCATTAAAGTTTTTTCTCTTCTAAAAGCAGACTACGATGTTGGAAAACACTGCTAATAAAAGTACAAATCCCACCTTCATGTGTCTTGTCCTAGTGGATTTTGTTGTTTTTTTTCCTCCTTGTTCTGTGCAGTAGATTGCTATATAGTGTAGTCGACCTTATACATCCATGCACTGTACAGTGTCACAGTTGAAGTGGGAAGTCCCCCCCCGATCACAGGAAGAAGCACTGAGCAAACTGCTGCTTGGCTTACCAAAATTAGGACAAGATGATGACAGACTAATACAGGCTGGGGCTACCATCTGTTGTAATGCACACTAGCTGACAAAAAAATAAAATATAATAAAATAGAAACAACCATCTGAGTTGACTGACAGGTTTCTTGACTAATGATTTGACTAGTTGACTTTCGGGAGGCAGCCCTAATGTAAAACTGAGAAAAGTAAAAAACCTAAATATGCTTAATCTTATTTCACTATACTTTATTTTTATTGTTGCTATTTTAATTTGTCTCTCTTATATTGCTTTGGGTTTCTTAAAATGTTCATTTTATGTAAAGCACTGTGAATTGCCATGTTGTTGAGAGGTTCAGCACAAATACAATTGCTGTGTCCCAACTGTTGTCCTACATTTTTGACAACCAATTGACTACACACAGTTTCCACCTTATAACACATTACAGGCTGTATGACCATGATGATTTATAAGGGGCTTAAATCTAAATATTTCAGCAGTTGGTGGAAAAACAAGACATTTTGCTGTTACAATAAAGAAGTAAAGTTAAGCTTATGGCAGAGGAAAATCAAGCTGCTATTCCACTGAGCTATGAAAAACACTTTGACTGGAAAAATGCCAAAAAGCTTTGTGCCTTTATACATCATGTCTTACACTATGAAATTATACCTGCCTAGAAACTGGAAGAAAAAAAAACAACTTAAAAAGACTAATTTAAAACACAAGCAGCTGTGAGACAAATACACTATGTTTTCTAACAGGTGTCCATATAAAGAAATCAAACTAATCTGTTTCTATTACAATTAAAGGTCTTAGTCACCATATACGTCAGATATTTCCATTTTGTAAGGCTGCAACATTTACAATGAGAGCGCTGCATTGCATAATATATACCATGATCAGTCGTTGCTCGGAATTTCACCAAAATGCTGATACAAGGACACTTAATCTAACATTAGACTGACGGTATCCGACTCTCACCTTTATGTGAGAAAAGAGTGGGTGTGTTTAGTTTCCAGCTCTGCATAGAGAATCTCAGTCTAAGTGTCAGCTCACTCTGAATCAGACGCTGTCCAGCGCGAGTAAACTGATTCAAACTGAACAAACCTGATAAAGCCCACAAGCACCTGATACGCTACAATCCTCACTCTGCCCATACATACATACAGTATCTGGCAGGTTCAGGCTCCTGATCTGTATTCATCTCCCTCAGTGTGAAGCTGGCAGAGAGTCCCAGCTCCAACATGCCAGTCCAGTGACAGATGTCTCCATTAAAGTGACACATGTGAAGAAATATGATCACGCTTCGAGGTTAATTAAGACATCCTCAATTAATGAGCCTTAACTCCTCCATGTAATCTAATTTAGATCATGTTTAAACACAACAGGACCTTGTCATTTTCTTTTCAGCTTTTAATAAACTGCACTGACTCAGACTGTCTTCTTTGTAACGCTACAACTAATGACTGTTTTTACTTTGGATTAATCTGGTAGCCAAGTTTCTTGATCCATATCTAACATGAGATAAAACAGTGAAAATGATTATCGCAGTCTCGCTTAATTTTCTGTTCACTGATTGCCAGGCTACAACTAACAACTATTTGAAATTATCGATTAACCTAACAATTATTTTCTGAATTAATCAATTAAAATGGCCGCCACAGTTTTCCTAGAGTTTGTTGTGGCATTCATATTCACACATTTGAGAAAATGGAAACTTGGAAAAATGTTTTTCTAAAAAAGATGCTTGAAAGATTAAGTGATCACTAAAATTGTCGCTCTTTTATTTCTATTGATTATGTAATCATTACAGGTGTTTAAATTATTCATTTTTTTAGTTATTTTATCTGTACTTATTTGTCCATTATTGTTGTTATAAAGCACAGCATAATACATTATCCCCTTTTCCGCCATACTCGCTCAACTGGACTCGACTTGTTTGTTTTTCCATCAGTCAAATGTTGGGGATAGTACGCGGTACTACTTTTGATATTCACCTCCACTGAAGTTCCAAGCGAACTGAGGTGATACCAAAGGATGACATGTAAACACTGCACCCAAACGACTGGTCGGAGAAATTAATCACTACTACACAGCCACCGATTATCCTGGATGTTTACATGTGATGACACCCGTTGCTGGTTCTTGATTCATTCATTACAGTACCTGCCACTTCTCTCTCATCAGTGTTGTAGAGAATATGGTGGCAGTTATAGTTACCATATTAATACAAGTGAACCACCACATCATATAGCTTATCACCTAGCCTATAGGTTACTGAATGCGCTAATATGAGCACAATGGCTACAGCTACGCCCACTACATAGAGCTAGCTAGCTGGCATGGTGGTGGGTCAGCACATCTCAGAAAACGACAGAGCAAATTTGTAATTGGCATTACTTGGAGCTCTATGTCTCTGATGAGCAGTCACTGGCCACATCAACCTGACCAGTGTTTGACTGTTTGTTGTTGTGTCTTGTTGCTTTTCTTCTTTTCTCTCTCCTCTACCCACTCATCCCAACCGGTCGAGGCAGAAGGCCGCCCACCAAGAGCCGGGGTCTGTCAGAGGTTTCTTCCATTAAAGGGAGTTTTTCGTCCCCACTGTCGCAAAGTGCTTGCTCAAGGGAGATTTGTTGGGTTTTCCCTCTACAATAATAGTGATAATAGTAAAGTCTAGACCTTACTTTGTAAAGTGTCCTGAGAAGACTTTTATTGTGATTTGGCGCTATACAAATAAGATTTGATTTGACTTAGATAGATTGACCACATATTTGCAGTGAAAAACATACACTTCATACGAAAAGGGAGTTGAGTAGAGTTGAGCTGGTACCGAGCAATGGAAAGACTGCTAACAATGTCAAAATATTTGAGCACTGATCATGCTGTCAACAAAATCAGTTTCCCATCACAGTAAAGCAGACTGGTCAGTGACAACAGACTCACTTTGATGCGGAGGGACTGATGGATATCTGCAGCCAGCTGTCCTTTCCACCACTGCAACTCCCTCTCCATCTTTCCCATCCAGAGGAGACTTCCAGAATCTTTTACCTGCTGAGACAAATGGATCCAAAACAGTTCAAGAACTTTAATAGAGTGGCTGATAAAGGTGATAAGTAGAAAATATATACAGTGTTTGATGGTGTTTAATATTTGCTGACAAAACCACCTAATTGAAAGGAGGGTAAATCTGAATTAAAGTTATTCTACAATTTGTCTTGTTAAAAATGATTTTAAGATTTAAGGCTTGTGCTGACAAAAACTAACACAAAGGTAGCGGTTTTTTTTAACTACAGTGGTTATGATAATGTTTCTGAACATCTTGCTAAGCCCACAGCAGAGGCCATTTTCTCTGCTCGGACATTTAAATGGCTCGGTTAAGTCCCCGCTCGACCACGAGTCAAATGAATCAAAGCAGCCTTTCGGAGATGTCACTTTGGACATGGTTGCTTGCTGAAACGACAGAATACTAACAAATACCACACTTTGGCTATCATTCACAACGCGTCTGCACCACGCGACAGCGGACAAACAGTGAGGACACACAAGTTAACTGCCCACCGAGCTCACAAACGCCTTGGTTGGAAACAAATACAGCACAGTGTGGTAAAACTAGACATTTCCACACAAATGCAGCTAATCTCTCCCATAGGACAGCGACCTGGTAAACTTTTCATCTCAGTGGGTATTACATGCCACTCACCGCTCCGACAGGCATGCCCCCCCAGACCCCTTTGTCTCAGTCCGACATCCTGAATGAGAGAACTCCTCTTCGGCTCAACTTTGAGAAAAACCTCTTTTTATCGGTGAAAACACACCGTTCAAATCCGCTGCCAAGTTCATACAACAGCTGCCACCGCCAAATCCCGGCAACAGGCGTTTGGTTGAGCCGTTACCCCCAAACTGTTCCCACTTTTTTCAAGAGACTCAGCTCCCTCGTTTTCTCTCCGGTGGCTCCGCTTTAACAAAGTAGCCTCCTCGGCTGCACCAGCTGCTGCTGTCGAGGTGCGCGGATGTCCCTCCTCTAGCCTGGGAGTTGTAGTCCTTTAGAGGTCAGCCAAGGAACTACAAATACCCATACTTGATATAAGCTTTTAAAATCGCCTATATTTTGTTGTGTGAATCATTATCGTGTTGTTCTTTATATTTTTAATATACAAGAACACATCAAAAATTATATTAATAATGTTATGAAACCAATGTGAGAAAAGTAGCCTAATTATGCGGGTTTAAAAGGTTTCTAGTGGGTTTTGCCTCTTCATTCTTAATGCTCTATTCTCTTCTGCTTTTACCTCACTTTACCATCTTCTGTGTTGAGCTCATTATGTTTGTTTGCATTTACTTGTACTGTTTTGATTTTCTTGTAAAGCACTTTGTAAAATCGATAAGGAAAGTGCTATCATAATTAATGATCATTTTTGCATTTTGCTTTTTGAAGCAGTTTTAACTGCATTAGAACTTAGATAAAGTTTTATTTATTGATTGATTAATGTCAAGAACCAAAGATTAAATAATAATAATCATTATTATTATTATTATGTTTCCTACTTAGGCCCATTCTTCCCATCTTTGCCATGCATTCTCTCATTTTCTTCAATTCTACTAAATAAAATAATAGTGAAAACAAACTTTTTAAAAACATTTCTGACAATCCAGGGTACAGTAACAATCAGAATCCATCATAATAGTGGTGCCCAGATCCATAATACTGTAGTAATGCACAATAAGAACAAGATATTTGTTGTGATTTGTATGTTAAAGGTGTAAATATACCAAGTACAGTATCAGTACAGTATCTTAACAAGTCCTCCAAAATAATTTTGTATCCATTTATCTAAAAGCAAATTTCTTGGTTTTATTAATTTTTGTGGATCAAATTATCTACAAAAACCCATTAACATGTTTACTCAGATATAGATAATACTTTAATATGTAACAATACTGTTTGTGTTATGAATAAACACAAGACTGCAGGATGTTCATGCACCACCAGCAAACACTTGTGCAGCTTCTGTAACCTGCAAGAATCTCAAGAAACTAAGAATTTTAAAAAGTGTTTAGTTACATATTGCATATATTTAAAACATATTTTGTCAGAATTATAGCACCGTGAGTGATAAAACTTGGTGGTTTCCCAGATGTTTTTTTTTTCTTTTGTTCCTTGTGCGCCCCCTGGTGTCAGGTCTTGTTTAAGAACTGATCCTAACTTAAGTCTTGTATTTGTGGAGCAATCTTTTCAAACATGGATCCTTTTTATATGAAGTCAAACAAAACAAAGATATCTCAGAATTACAGCTTTAACTGTAATCCTGAGCATTGGCTTTCCTATCAGCTTCACTGAGAAAGTCCTGGTCAGCATAGATGAGGAAGCCGGTGAAGGTGCTGTCTGTCCAGAAAGGGTCAAAGAAGAGTCCATTCTGCTCAGAATAGAAGATCTGCAGCCAGACCTGGTCTGACTGCTGCAGGTGGAGAACAGTAGAACCAGACGCCACGTCATGGTTCCCTGTGTTTGCATCAAATGTCTTGATCTTGTATTGTCCATTGTGCACCAGCCCGATGGCCAGGTGCTTATTTGCCAGAGTGATGTCATAGGCGAAATAATAGACTCCAGGGATAGCACAGATGAACTTGCCATTGC